CCGGCAAGATGAAGTGCACTGCGCTGGGATAAAAGACCTTCGTGACCGCTTTGCCAAGGGTGGCAGGACTGGTACCGGCTGCGATTGCCACAGTGCTGACGATAGAAGAGAGGAGGCATCGCTATTAGCTATGACCTGAGATCTTGTCCCGCGGTCAATCCTTTTCAGTGTACCCGTGAGGCTGTCTCATCTGGTAGTCCCAGTGCGCGCCAGTCACGTGCCCATTGTCGAGCGAGTGGCGTTGTTCTTGGATCCCTTGGCAGCGGAATCTTTCTCCCTGATCCCGCGCCTCGTTGGACAAGTGCTCGCCCGAGCAGCAGTCGACCGCCGGCAGTTGACCGGCAAGATGAAGTCCACTGCGCTCGCAATCGGGATGTCCGGAACCGCCTCGCCGAGGCGCACAATAGTCCTCAGTCTGGCGAAGGCCAATTCTGTCATCCTGGAAAGCCCAGAGAGCGGGACGTCAAGAGGCCATTTCGGCCGAAAAGCAGCACTGTTTGGGGCGGTACTCGAGTACTCACTGCGGTACCGCGAAGCGGTACCTTTATTTGTCGCCTTCCATCTCGCCCACGCCTCCGCCGCCCTCCATCTCTCCCATGCCGCCCCCCCGCCCTCCACCTCGCCCACCCCTTTGCCACCACCCTCTCCTTCGCCGCCCCTCGCCCCCACCGTCCTCCACCTCCACCCCTCGCCCTCCCCCCCCCCGCCCTACCGAACCACCCGCCGCCCGCCCATGCCGACTTCCGCCCTACCGCCGCCCTCCCCCCTTTCTGCCCCTCCGCCTTCACCATCCCCCATCTGTGCGCCCCTCCCCGTCCGCTCCCTCCCGCTTGGCGCCCATCCCGCCCTCCGCCCTCGCCCTCCGCCCCTGCCCTGGCTGGCCTGGGTGGCATCTCCGCATCATCACGCGCCAAGTGGGAGGGAAGTGGACGGGGCCCTGAGCCGACCTAGCCCCAGACGGAACGGGGCGCCCAACACGTGCCCGGATTACTGTGCCTTCCCCGGGTGCAGCCTTTCGGTTCGTGAAGGGTCGGTGCGAGTCGTGCTTTCCTCGATCCCCCGCCCTCCCCCGCCATCTCCGCCGCTTTGGCTCTACAGCCTTACCACCGGGAGGCGGCGAGGCGAAATCAGACTCGGTCGAGAGACCCCAGATTGGCATCCATGCCTTCTGGACAGGGTGGCCCGCCACAACGACCCCTGGAATTGCGACTCGCCGCTTTCCTCCCGCTGTGATCCTGTGTGAGCTCTGTGTCTTGTTTGCCAACAACATACCTAAAACCTTTATCGTACAAAGGAGAAGTTTACTTCGTATGGTACCCACCCCCTACATTAATTCTTCGCACGTACATAGACACATACAGCCGACACGAGTGCCAGGGCCACCCCGAAAAAAGTGGTGCTCGCGATCCATTGGCTGGATGGCTGACTCGAGCGTCAGTGGCTCGATCGACCACGCCGACCCCGACCAGCCGCCGCCGCCCAAGCTGTCGGCAGATGCGAGCGAGGAGGAGAGGACCGCACGTGCTGCGATCATGAAGGAGCGGGCGAAGAGGCAGCGGCAACAGCACGAGAAGAACAGGCAGCCGAGGGAGCGCAGCGAGCGGCAGTATGAGAGCGGGGCGGCCAAGCGCAAGAAGGCGGGCACCGAGGCCAAGAAGGCTGATGCCAACCGCCGCCGCCAAGTCGTCAGTCAGCACCGCCGCCAAGCCAGGGAGAAGGCGCGCCCGCCACTTGGCGAGAGCTTTGCCTCCATCCGCCAGCGCGAGGAGCAGCGGCTGCTCGGCGAGCGCTTCCTGTTCGTGCCCCAGCGCGTGCGTGTATCTGAGGGAGAACTTGCTGGGCAGTGCGGCACCATGCTGGAGCGCGGCCAGCTGTGCTTCCCCGACCCGGTGCCAAACGACCCGCGGCACATCATGAGCCTGGAGCTTGACGCCTCGGGCCGCGTGGCAATCACGGAGCCAAAGCACCACCACCAAGTGCTGCTCGACGGGAGCGAGGATGAGAAGCCGGTGCTGCTCTCGCCGTACGCGGTGGAGCCGTGGCCGAGCGTCGGGCAGCTCGTGGACATGCACCACGGCAGCAACTTGGAGGACGAGCCTGATCGAGCCATGAACCACTTAGGCACTGTCGTCGCCTTTCATCCATGGCAGCATTGGGGACTCGAGGGCGAGAGCTTTTACCTCGTCAAGCGGCAGACATATGCGCTGCCGGAGCATGTCGAGGCGATGGCGGGAGGCGACGTGCGCGTGGGCTCGTGGGTGCGGCTGCTGCCTCCGCACCCGGATGCGCGTTACGAGCTCGGCCGGGAGGCAATCGCCCCCAACGCATACGGGCAGGTAACGCGGCGCAGGTTTGAGCTATCGGAGACGATTGCACGGCGCATGCTTGAGCGCCTCCACCTGCAAGAGCCTCTCACAACGGCCGACACACACAAGCTTCTGGAGATCGTGCCCGTGACAGGAGCTGAGGAGGTATACTTGCCGTTGCCCGACGTGCACGTGGTGCTACACCGATGTGAAACATGCAGTGACTGCTTGGTGCTCGAGTCCACATTCTTGCTTGCCTACGACACGGACTTTGCGCCCCTTGACAGCGAGGACATGCAAAACCCGTGCCGCTCTCACTGTCCAATAGATCATGATTACATGTGCAAGTGCGCGCGCGAGCAGTACTCACACTGGGAGTGTAGGACCGGATGCCGCGATTGTACCGGTAGTGGCAGCGAATGGGACAGCGAAAGGGATGAGGAGAGTGACATGTCTGTGTCCCCTTAAAAATATCTCCTTTGTACCCATGCGGAGCCTTTATTTGTTTAGGGGGTGAGGTGCTCACGTCCAGGAGTCGGCGGGGAGCTTTCAGCCGCCGCTCAGAGCGGCAACGTGGGTGACATGCTCCGCAATCTCGCAAGGGGCCTCGCCGGACATTCAAAATGGCACAACACCCGCTTCCGCAAGGCGCGGCAGGATGCTGTCAAACTCGCAGTCGCCAGCAAGTTTGCCGGCATGATCCGAGTGGCGGTTGGAGCTGGCGACGAAGCCGGTGTTGCTGATGCTGTGGCCCGAGCGAAAAAGGAGGGTGTGACACGCGAGGTCATTGAGCGCGCGCTCGAGACGAGCCGCAACCGAGAGGCCTACAAGGAGGAGATGTACGAGGGCTCCCTCGCCGGAGGAGTGCTCGTCCTCGTCGAGGCGTTGACAGACAACCCGAGGAGAACGGCGCCAAAGGTGCGCCACCTCTTCAAGGAGGGCGGAGGCGCACTCGGCGCAGCGGGGTCCGCGGCGTGGGCGTTTCAGAGGCGAGGTCTGCTGCGCGTCCAAGGCATCAGCAGCGACAACGAAGCTCTGATCGAGGCGGCGCTCGAGGCGGGAGCGCAGGACGTCGAGGAGGATTCGGCAGCACACCTCGAGGCTGACGACGGCCCCTGCGCCGCCGTGTTTTGTGAGCCCAACGAGCTGGCTGCAGTGCGAGCCACCCTCAGCGCGAGAGGGTTCGAGGCGAGCGAGGCTGCGATCCTCTTCGTGCCGAGTACAACCGCAGAGCCTGCGGCCGGCCTGCGAGAGGCAGCGGAGAGCGCGCTCCTCGCTCTCGAGGAGATGGAGGACGTAGAGGGTATCTGGCACAATCTTGCACCATAGATCGCGATTTTTTTCGAGGTCAGACCCATTCATGCCTGCACCCTGGCACCACTGTGGACGGTCCGTCCGACGTCGGGTAACCGTCGCCGCATCGCCCCTCGCGACTCAAGGTGCGCGCTGCGTGACCGCCGTGAGCTGCCCTCCCGACCCAATTAAAAAAATCCGGCGTTTCCCCTCCCGGTGAGCCGGGAGAGCGCTCCCGGCACCTCCCGGCACCCGTTTCCCCGCCACGAAAGCTCTGCCGAGAGCGCCGTTCCCATGGGCGGCGTTCCCGAACCGCTCGTAGGCGCCGCGCGGCATTGCCAATGCTCCATCGACGCGGTGCAGGCGAGCCCAAGCCAAAGGGGTGGACACGTGCCGCCAAGAACGCCTTCCTAATCCACTTTGGTGTGCGCACGGGCGGTGCTCCAGTGGACGCCACTGCCGACGGCGCCGCCGCCGACCCGCCCGCCGCCGACCCTCCCACCGAGGAGGTCGACGGAGCTGCAGACCCAGCGATGCAGTCCGAGGCCGCCGCTCCGGCGGCAGAGGCTGACGTCCCGATGGCGCAAGCGCTGAGCGATGCCGAGCTTTCATCAGATCACGAGCACGAGGAGCAGCCGCTGCTCCATGAGCAGCGGCTTGCGACAGTCAACCAGGAGCAGGCAAAACTTGAGGCGCTGCGTTGGACCGAGGAAGAGGTGGCTTTGTGGGTGAGTTGGGGGGGGGTGAAGGAGGACTTGATCTAGGCTGGAGATTACACGTGGAGCACTTGGAGGCGCTAGAAGGAGTTCGAGGAGGAGCGTGCGGGCTACATGGAGGAGACCTCGTGCGACGAGTCCGAGGACGAGGACGAGGACGAGAGCGACGGCGAGGCGCCCGCACCCGCCCCCGCACCCGCACCCGCACCTGCACCCGCGCAGCGTGCAGGGAAGCGTAAGGCTGCACCGCCTCGAGCACCGCCAGACAGCAGTGATGACGATGGCCCATCATTGCATGCGCCAGCACCGGCGCGGGCAGGGCGGGGGGCCAAGCCGGCAGCCAAGGGGTCCGCACGGCGCAAGCCGCCAGCAGCCAAGCCAGCAGCCAAGCCAGTAGCGGCCATGTCGAAGCGTCAGCGACGGAAGTGATCTGTACACACTGCATGAGTATGAATCGTGTGTGTGTGTGTGTGTGTGTGTGTGTGTGTGTGTGTGTGTGTGTGTGTGTGTGTGTGTGTGTGTGTGTGTGTGTGTGTGTACTATTGTACGAGATTTGTACATTGCGCTCTAGACGGGGGCTCTTGGGCAGCAGCTCACAGCCTATTTTTGGTCGGTTTTTGGCGCTAAAAATGCAAAATTTTCTTCGCGGGGCTCTGCCCCGCACCCCGCTGGGGCTGCCAGCCCCAGACCCCAGGCTGGGGCTCCGCCCCACACCCCGAGTTAGGCGCTGTCGCAGGCCAGAGGCCGAGTTACGGCTGCAGGCAAAAGTCGCTCGCTGCCGTCTGAGCTCGAAAAAAATCGCGATGTAAGAGCCGTGGTATGACCCAGAAAGATCTTCATCCCCCAAAAATAATGCAGTCTCGGGACACCTCGCACTTGATCCCTAAGGGCCTGCCCCTGAAAGTCACACAAATATCGAGTTGGGGATTTAAAGACCCTTTCATCGGCCATAGAACTTGTCGGCAAAAAAATGCCCTAAAAGCGTCACTCGGGGGGTAGTT